AGTGACACTTCAAAGAAGAGGAGGGACACTGTTTAAACACCAGTGAACTCAGGGAACAGCCTTCCAAATCAGAGTGAAGGAATATGCATGGGCTTTCTTTCATATCTCCCTGTGATCTTTGTCCCGCAAATTTAGATTATGTTTCCTGTCCTTTACTCAGGCCTTGCAAGAAGGCCCCCAGGTGTTGGGGGTCTCCAGGCCATCCTCACCATCTGGTACCACATGGAGGGCTTTTCTAAATATGCAAGTCACCAAATCATCCTGCTACCCTCTGAGAAGCTAAGGGAGCCTTCCAGCCCAGCTTGCTTTCCTAGAGATTATCATTCAAGTTCTCATTTTATACCTTGCAAGTCTACCTCTGTATTTACAGCTGTGTGGCCTGAGGAAGTGAACTTGAGCAACAGCCCCAGAGCAAACCCCATGAAGCTGTGTTCCAGGCAGGTCCACTCACTAAGGAATTTGAGCATGAGCAGAAGAGGAGAGTCGGCAGAAGTAGGGATCCACACAGGAACAAAAGCCATAGGCAGGAGCCATGAGTGGGAAGAAGGCAAGGCAGAAGAAGCCAGAAGCAGAGAAGAGAGAGAAATGACCCCAGTGGGAGTGGGCAGAGCAGTAGGAGGATGTATGGGAGATGTGCCAAGGGAGCACCTAAGAGGATTGTTCTTGAGATGCCAGTATGACTATTAGAACATAGTTCTTATTTGTTGTGTGACCTCATGGCTCAGCAGCTAAAAGGATTTGTCTTTCTTCCTAATGGATCCTTAAAATAATCTCCCATTAACTGAAGCTATGGGAGTAAATCTCTTTTCCTTACAAACTAAAATCAATAGATCAATCAATCTACTAGTGATTGCCTAACCATCAGGACAACAGGAGCTTGCCTCCATTTTCAGTGCCACCTCCTGCTTTAAGGCTAAGCTTGAAGTCAGACTGTTCTTTACAAGTTTCTTATTTGAGCAAATGAGCAATCAGATGGCATGTGGCTGAACAAAGTTTGGGCATGCTTAGACAAGGCCAGGAGTTGGGTGACCTCTGGATTGCTCAAGCTCCACAGCAATGAGGTATCAAATAGCAACAGTAAAGGGTAGACAATAGGGGCACAAGGGTTATGCTTAGGATTGAGCGAGTAGGTACTGAGTAATGGAGACAAGTGTGAGATCAGGTTGGAAAAAACAAGAATACTGCAGCCAAAGCTCAGATTCACTGCAGGTTTGGTTCCAGACCACCACAATAAAGGAAATCATAACTCCTTTGCTGGTGGACGTTCATCCCTTCAATTTGGAAACAAAAACAAAACAAGAAACCCACACAGGCTACATCCTGGAAGGGAGGTACTCCCCTGACTTTACCTTCCAATCTTTGCTTAGAAGTAGAATACATTTGAATGGAAAGCCTTGGTGGGGCTCTCTCTTATTAGGGAAAGGTAGGTTTGAGGAGGGATAAAAGAGAGGTTAATGAATAGATAAAAGTCCTAGTTTGGGTGGGAAGAGGGAAGAAATAAGATAGGGGATGGTGGGAGAGCTGCTCAAAGCCCTTAGAGGCAAGAAATTTGGGATCTGAGAGAAAGAACAAAGGGCAAAGCTCAGCCCGTGCTGATGTGTGGCTTATAAATGAAATATTCACTTTTAGGTAGTTTGCTAAATGCCCACCTGAGGGCACTGTATTCCAGTCACCTGGAATTTTTTTATTTTTTTTATTTATTTTTTATTTTTTTATTTTTTTTTTTGTCCTCCATCAAGTAAATTGTCTTCAATTTGCCCAAGGATAAACAAGTAATGCTATAAAGAAAGATACCTATGGAAGATGGAAGTCAGAGACGATCTTTCCTCCCTCTCTTTGTTCTTGAACTAGATTCATGAATGAACAAGACTGACCTTGATTCAAGTCCCTGGGTAATGGCTAGGATTAAATAAAATGACCTGATTTAAATCTCCTTAGCATTTCATAGCAAATCAATAAATATCAGCTCCTTTCCATATACAACCACACACAAACATACACATTTGCCAACTATAGGAACAAGAGAAGGAACACGAGGAGGCGTTACACCAACCCTTTATCTCCCTGAAGGGGGCAGGACTCAAAAGCCCCACAATGAATGTACAGCTGTGCTAGAAATTCATTCCAGAGAGCAAATTTATGCCGCTCTTTTCATTGCATGTTGCAGCTTGTACATAATAGCCAGAGGGAATAGAACACAAACAGCTGGGAAATAAAGATGAAAGCAAAACTGTGTCAGCAGGGAGAGACACGCCTCCCCTGAGAACCCGGCAGTGTCATGAAACATAATTTGAACAAGGTCACCTGCATAGCATTCTGTTTTTCAGAGAAAGATCATTCAACGGCTGCCCATTTCTGAGCATCTCCTTCAAAGTCAAGGTAGAGATAGGGATACATGTCCCCTAGCTTTCAAATTTCTACTGTCAGGTCCAATGTATATAATGAAATGGAGCCACAGGCGGAATCATGCATTATTAAAAGGCTAACTGGGATCTGGGAGGGTGGAAAAACAAAGAAATTCTGCTTCCTAGCACAAAAGGAGCCCTCCGGAATCCCAGATGGCAAGGTTTGTGGCCATATGCTGCCCTCTAGTGCCTTTTTAAGGGATGGTAACATGAGAAATAACACTTCATGATGCCCAGGCAGCCAATATCATCTCAGCACAGGACTGGTCAAACAAAACAAAACAAAATACAAAAAACAACAACACAAGTAAGATTTTTAGGGAAAAAAGGGGCAAAGCCAAGATTTTTACTAACATTAAAAACTGAGTTAAATTTGGCCTCAACATAGATACTGCATTCTTTCTGAACTTTGAAAAACACAGGGTCTAGATTCGTGAGTGCTCTTTAAAATTACAGACACCTGTCCCCTGTGTGTTGATTTGTCTGAGGAGGGGCCCGTGACTCTGCATCAAGTAAATCCATCAGTGACTCCGATGGGGTTAAGTTGGTTGACTGCACTTTGAGAAGAACTAAGCTGACTTTAAGGAGAGTGTAGAATAAATCTGATAATTTTCTTTTAACCCTGTAAGAATACAGCTCTTAGGCAAAAAAATAAAATAAAAATAAAATAAAATAAAAGGCATAAAATCAAAGCTGTCCAAGACAGACTGACTGACTCCTTCATGACTAGCAGAGAAGATAGCAGTGCTGCTCAGTGTGGAGTGGAGAGTTCATATAGACGGTCCTATATGAATCAGCCCCCAGATTGCAGGAGGCACCTAGGTAGGAAGGAGAAACAATGTGTCTCAGAGACAGTGCTGGTCTGTGCAGGTCACATACTTCAGTCCACCTTGAACTGCTCTTTTCCAGCCTTTTCAGTCCCTGACACAGGGCCCAGTTTCTAGTGAGAGTCGTTCATGCTTCCTGAGGTCCCTCCCTACACAAAAAGGACAGCATTTGGCTTAGAGCTGGTGGCTGGGTTGGCCAGCACACTCAGCGTCACAATCTCTCCCTTTCCCTGCACAATGACTGCCTGAGCCTGCTGTGGACATCCGAGCCACAAAAACTCAGGGGCAGAAAATGCCCTCCCTTCACTTCAGTCAGCGACAAGAAAGAGGGTTGGCCTGGTAAGCAGCATTTCCTTTGAATTGCATTTTTTACCTTTTGAGCTAAGCTACTAGATTTATGGGCACAAACAAGGTGTCTCTGAAGTTAACAAGAGGCCACTCTGAGAGAGGGAGACAGCCATTACCACATATTTTAGGTGTTAGGTGATTAGAAATAAGTTCTGCAATTACAGAAAGTGAAACACTTTTCTTTCTTCTCTTTTCTGATTTAGAAAGAGGACTTTTCTCTAGAAAGATTTCTGTTGGATTTTCTTTTTCCAGTTCCCTAACTGCCCCATGAATCAAAGGGAAAGATCACATCAGTACAAACGAATACCTCTTGACAAGTAAAAATGTGAGCATGAGGGTCCTTGTAGAACTATGGAATGCAGGACAAAAGCAGCAACAGAGGAGCCTGGGTCAAAACTGGGGATGTGTCTTTGCTCAATTGTACCAGTATTTTTATCCCTGGCCAAGTCATTCCAAGCTCAGGTTTCTTACCTGCTTAATAAAACGCTAATGACACTTCATCCAATGCTGGTTGTCATGTTAAATGTGATGGGATCACCTGGCTGGCCTGGCTTAGTGGTTGAATATCGACTTATGAACCACGACACATGTCCAGGTTCCTGGCTTGATCCCCAGTGAGAGGTGTGCAGGAGGCAGCCTATCAATGATTCTCATCACTGATGTTTCTATCTGTCTCTCCTTCTTCCTTCCCCTCAATGGAATCAATAAAAATATAATATAAAAAAATGTGGTGGGATCAATAGATATGTTCTTAGGAATTCACAAAAGCCTGCTGAGATAGAAACTTGTGTTGTTTTTTTTTTCCTATTATTGACATATTTTCTAAGATGTTTGTATTGTTTACTTGGAGAAATCAAGTCTCAATAAGGAAAGAAAATGTCTGCTAAGGCTTTGTTAGAAGCTCGTAAAAGAAACATTCCCACTGATGCATGTGTGGTGGGAGGATTCATTGTTGGAGGCACAAAGGCTAAGCCCAGGTTGGTCAGAGGTTAGGAAATCTCACCAAGGAAAGAAAACTAATAAGCTCTTGAAGAAACTCCTTAGCTGTCTGTTTATCATGACTCCACATTGATTGCAAACTGTTGGGACTACAGAAACTTGCAAATGCCTATTTTTCTTTATAATATGGAAACAAATACATTGCTCTCACCCTTTAAAATTTAATCATGCATGCATTCTTAGGTGTTGCATGTTTTGAACTTCTATTAAAAATGCATGTTTCTGCCACATTAAAGGGGGAACAGAAGCTTGTGTGTTGTATTATTAATTATATGCAGGGAATGAAATTCTGATTAGTATTTGCAGAAGGTACACACACACACACACACACACACACACACACACACACACACACGCACACACTGCCAGGTGAGTGGCGGTGATGGGGTTTATGTCTGCTGCTCTGATCCGGTGCACTTACTCTTGAGGTCCAAGTTCCTGGCTCCGGCGGTGATTTGCGTTGTGATTTTCGTGTCAATCTTTACAGTGTGGAGATTGCTGGTGTCCCTTGATATCATCACATTGTGCCACTGATTGTCATTGAGGGGTTTATTTGAGCTCCCTTTGATGAGGTTAGCACCATTTCCCAAGTCAAACACGTAATGTAAGTACCTGGAGGGAGAAAGGACAGTGGGAAAATGCCATCACTTTTTGAACTTTTTTATGGAGTCAAACTCGATACAACAAGAGGAGAATTTTTCTTTCAGGTGACTCTGTCCTTGCTAGAAGTCATGTGAGTGACTTGTATAAAAACTCAGCTAATGAGAAGGAAACACTATTCTGTGTCAGTAAGGCAGATTCTTTATTTTCACTATAAAGAATAATGGAAAAAATGTTTTAAATTAGGTTCTACATTAGGGGAGGGGAACCTTTTATTTCTGCCAAGGGCCATTTGGATATTTATAACATGGCCATACAAAATTATCAAGTTAAAAATCAGCCTCCTATATTTGATCAAACATTTAATTGCTTCACTCCTAATGCCTTGGCAGGGACAGACCAAATACTTCTGGAAAGGATGTATCATTTCCTCTTTCACCAGTCCCTCCAGCCTTTGCTAACCACAATGAACTGGCACTTCTTGTCAGCTTCTTGCACTGCTTTTTCCCCTCCACCTCAAATGCCTGTTGCTTCTCTATGGAAATGTGGACTCATCCTTCAAGTCTCAGCTCTAATATCCACTTCCTGTCTCATACATTTCATATTTTCCCTAAACACACAGCCTTTGCACATAATTATCTTAGAAAAACTTTTCTATGTATGTGTTCACCAACAACCCCTCAGATTGAATGCTTGCATATGTACACCTTGAGGTTGGTGGAATCTGAGATATGCATGAGGTAGCAAGAACACACACACAAACACACACACACACACACACATTTCCTGGCACATTATCTAGCCAATTGTAAATATGCAATAATAGTCACTGAATGGATGAATACCCATATTAATTAAACTATATAAAACTTTTATCACTTTCAAGGAAATTTCACAAAAATCTAAATTCTTCAAGGAACTTGGACATAGAATTCAACTTGAGTAAATGGGATTTTGTAAAATTGAAGGAGCCTGATTATTTGAATTATCTATTTAACGTAGCACAAATTTGTAGGAATTATTTTGTAGAATTATAGTGTGCTTAGTGATAGTAAGGCAATCCACATTTGAAGTGTAAGATTTATGGAATGCATAGCATAAATTAGAACTTGATGTTATTTATATCTCATCTAATATCTCATATATGGAAATGTAGGTGTAAAAGACTACACAATTCCCCTATTAATTTGTAACACACTTAAATAATTTAAAATAATATATTATTTGTATACCCCTGCCCATGACCTTGTAAGCCGATACATTTTGCTTAATGTGTATTTTTGGAAATGGAGGCCCATTTCACTTGTCATTAGACTGTCATATACTCACCCTTTCACTAATTCAACCACAATAAAGTCATTTCCATCCCCACTGTTATATAGAATTAGTCCATCTAGGGATGTTGTCTTGAACTGGAAAAAAAGATGCATAGAAGTGTAGGCTTGCAATGTAGCTAAGGCAACATAGCTTGATTTGGTCTTGAAGGTAACAGGGTCTGCTATGATGTTCCGAAAGCCAAACCTGGCATTGAGCTCACAGTAATCTATGTCACCATTTTTACACAAGTCAATGTATGCCATTCCATTAAATGTCAGGCTCTGAAGGTGTCCAATGAAGTTGGAGGGGACAGAAGACAGATACCGCCGTTCGGTGATGATGCCAGTCTCTATGTTATGAAATTCTAATCTGGTATGATCGCCTGCCATTTGACCTAAATGGGAGAATCATGCATTATTATTTTCCATATCTGGAAGGCACTTTCAATTTATAACAACATCATATTTTATGATACAAGAATCCAAATACCTCTTTGATATTCAATTACATGTAGTAAAATCATAGAAATGATGTTAAAGGGCAAGTGCTGAAACACATATAACTTTCATAGGTCAGGTTTCTCTCTGTCCAAATTTTAGCCTTAATAAAAATTGTCCTCATTAGACAAAGTTACAGAGTTTTAAAAAGTAGGAGAGCTTATGGCTCAGTGATTGAACATCAACCTATGAACCAGGGTGTTACAGTTCAGGGCACATGCCTGGCTTGCAGGCAAGTAGGGGGTATGTAGGAGGCAGCCTATCAATGATTCTCATATTTGATGTTTCTACATCTCTCTTATCCTTTTTTTCCTCTCTCTGAAATCAATAATATTTATATTTTTTTAAGTAGCAGAAAAAACGGAAGTGAGTAATGGAGAAAGGGAGAAAGAAAGTTTAAGACGAATGGAACGAGAGAAAAGAAAAGGAAGTAAGGGAGAAAGCTAGGGAGGAAAGGGAAAAAGGAAGAGAGGGATGAAGGAAAGGAGAAAAGAGGGAAAGAAGGAATGAGGAAAGGAAGACAGGGGAAGGAGTTAGAGACAATGGTTGTCCTAAACCAGCCCAGTAGAAAGTGATGTATTCCAGCTTCATAGTGATGTTTTCCTGTATAAGAAATATTCTTATAAAGAAAATAATGTGACTGTATATTTTCCTACCACCAATTAAAATAATGAAAAGCTATTATTTTCCCAATATTGAACCATGAAAATGTGTTTGAAGTATGTCATTTTCACTTTCCTTTTTCTGTGCTGAATAATTTCCATAATCTATGCCATTTTCCTTGTACTTAGGTTTTGGGAAATGAAATTGAGCACAAATTCAAGGTATGTCCAATTTTGAGAATACCAGTAAAAGTAGTCCACATTACCAAAGTTATAATCTCTAAACACTTGAGTATGAAGCATGGTTGTGTATTTATATGGTGTTTCACTCTTCAATTCATTCCCTATCCCTTTTCATCCTGCCACATTTCTCTGTCAACCCCTTTGAAAGCCATCCTAGTACACTTTATCTTCAGAGTGATAATCACACCTACCTTCAGGGTTGGAGATAAACTACATAAAAAAAAAAAGTGCAAGCTTGATTTTTTTAAGACACAATATGAAGTACCTTATCTTTGCTAGTGACTCACTCCCAGCATCTTGTTGTTGTCTAATTAAACTGACATTTGCATTCTTCTGAAAATCAAAAAGGTCATTACAATTGCAATCAAGTTCTTCCGAGTACTAACTTAACTACTCAATTCGGCATAATTTTATTAAGCTTACACTATCCCATCATCCATGATATTAAAAAAATACACTAATTAGAGCCAATCCCCATATCAAACCCTGAGAAAATTCACTGGACCTAACCCCAGGTGTAATGAAGACAGAATAACCACCTATCTGCGTCAGATTCAACCAGCTGGACAGATTTCCATTTCTTTAGACAAGACAGTAAAACATTAGGTGGCATTTTCAGGGAATGCCTGTAAGTAAAATGTAAAAGGCATACTCTTTGTGGTGCAAGAAAAATTGTCTACATACTTAATTGATTTTAATGCTTATAAACTTACTGGTGTAAAAATCTCGACCTTAACCTGAATTTGACTCTACTTAATTTTCACACCTGATTACTAGTCCCTGATCTTGGTAAAACTGTCCTGTCACCCTGGGTGTATTTTCTTATCAGTCATTGTTTTTTTCAAATCCCCTCTCTGTAAAGTTTCTTTAAAGCTGAAAGTACCACTGTATATAGTTGCCAGTCCTCCTCTTTTCTCCACACTATGTTTCCTGCTTGTTTATCTAATGCAAAAACATAATTAAACCTTAGCAATTCTGGTTTCTTGTATGATATCATTTATTTCTCCTTCTTCAGTTCTTCTTGTGCAATGACCTCCACACTACTTTATGGAAAACTCTCTTTGGTGGTAAATCAAATGAGCCTTTAATAATTGTCAAATATAAAGCTCTAGAGATACCAGTAACATTGAATCAACAAACCATATAAAATGAGAAACATAAAAAGCTTAAAATCACTTGGGCTTGTATTGATTTTTATTTTTTTTCTCATGATATTAAAATCTGAGTTTTAAATCAGTGAAACCACCTCAATCCTGAAATTGTCATATTTCTTCTTAAAAATTCCATTAACAAGCCAAATGATGGGCAAGAAATATCCAGAAAAAAACAAAATTCCTAATGCTTGAAATTAAATATTATCCCCAAATTGTCAAGTTCTTGGCAGCTCTGAAATAGTGAAACACATTTTGTTTAGGATGACTGAGAAGTTCAGCGATAAAAATAGCACCTAATGTCTGTTTTCAAAGGAATAGGATATGTATGCAGAGCATAAATATCAAAAACACTGGTGGAGCCACCATGGCCCCATTATAAGGAAAATCATTATGGCCCTTGTTCAAGAGCCTATTCTTTGTTTAATAAGCAGATATAAATTGCATTGACAGTAATGGCGGTGATGCCTGCTCCAGGGAGAGAATTAGCACCTCAAAGCCATTATCCACTGACTAAGAAAACATTAATGGCTGCTCTTGTAAAAACTATTTTTCCCCTCAGAATTTATTTCAGTGTTTAATCATCTATATATAATGTAGCCATCTCTACTCTTATACACTTATATTAAGGGAAAAAAATTAAAGGCATTAAAGGAGGAATTTTTAAAAGGCTCTAATGATTTAAAAATCCAGTCTTTTCCAAAGAGTTAGCGGGAAGAATAATTTAAAATGAGCAGAATGCCTCTGATCAAAGTGTCTGGGTATAGCAGATGGATGACAATTTTCCAAAGAAGAACACCCACCTGGATGGTGTGTTTACATAAAAATCTCAATATCTAAATAAAATCTTTTGTAGCTAAACTGATAGCAGATCAGTTACTTGAGGTTCAGCCTTGCTCAGAGCTGGACTAATTTCTGCTGCAGAACAAAACAATCTGCCAGCCTTAACAATGAACTTGTTGGTTCACTTAAAGTGACAGCATGTGTGGTACGTGCATGTGTCAGGGGATGAAAAAAGAGTGGTAGGAGGAGCAGACATGGGTCCTGCTTTCACAGTCTGCGGAAGAAGGCAGACAAAAAGAAGTGAGGAAATCATTAAATATGTAACGACAGCACTCAGAAAAATGTCAGACATTCGTTGCACAGGCTGCTGTGTTGGTAAAGATGAAATGGAGGGAAATGCCTGAGTTGATATTTAACTTAAATTTGAAGGATTAAAAAGAGAAAGCCATGCTATAAGAAATAAGTCAACCAGAAATAAAGCTAACGACATGAGTGGGATATAAAACAGAAAGCAACAAATCAACAAACAAAAACTCAAATACATCAATAGTATGGTGGTTACCAGAGGGATGGGGGGAGGGTAGCAAGGAGTCAAAAGGGTCAAAATATATGGTGATGGAAGATGACTGGATGTGAGGTGGTGGACACACAGTGCAATAGATTATGTATCATAGAAATGTGTACTTGGAACCTATATAATCTTATTAATCAATGTCATATATATATATATATATATATATATATATATATATATAAAATATTTTTTTAAACAGAAAGAAAACCAAAGACAAACTACACACCCACACAAAACTGAACTATGTGTATCAGCTTCAAGTTGTGCACCTGGTTTTCAAAGTCACCTGCAAGAAATGGGAAAGTCTGAAGCTTCAATCAAAGAGAGGGTGATGGGGACAGTGGGTTTACCTGTCATGGCCTGCTGGTCATCCACCGTTAATTTTAAACTTTTTCCTCGACGGACCACACGCACTGTGTGCCATTCGTTATCATTGAGGTTATAGCCGGCAAAAAGGGTCTCGGGACCTTTGCCTGTAGAATATGCCAAACAGTCATTATGGACACTCAGCATCAGTCAAGCAAATGAACCTCACAGAGAGTGAGAGAAAGAGACAAAGAAAGAGGAAAGTGAGGGAGAGGGAGGAGAGAGAAGAAAAAAAGAAATGTGAGAGAAAGGAGAGAGAGAGAGAGAGAGAGAGAGAGAGAGAGAGAGAGAGAGAGAGAGAGAGAGAGAGAGAGAAGACTGGCTGGATCAATTTTCAAACCCATTAGAGACATAGCAAGCAAGGAAAATGACAAGTTAGCAGACATTCTGGTATGACACTTTAAGAAGAATCTTTAACACTATGCATTGATCTAAGACAAGCAAAGGAACCTGTTGTCATAAATGGGTACAGTCAATACAGCATTGGGAAGCCTCTCACATTTACACACACCTTTATTTTTCTAAGAAGGTCTCTGATTTTTGCAGTTTTCACTTTCTTGCTAATGTAGTCGCTAGCAGTCATGTAACATCTGACCTCAGGGAGAGATCTGGCCATAGGTCATTAGCTAAGCATTTTCAGGGCTTGGGCACTGGCTGGATGACAGGAGACTGTTCTGGGTACTGTACTGTGTGAGGGCTCTCTTTACTCTGACCACATGTACCTCCTGTGTTCACCACATTCTTAAATTTATTGTGTCTAAAAACTAAAACTAGTGGAGGCACAGAAGATGAGTATAGGTAAAAGTATTGCCTCTGAGAAAATGAAGAAAAAAGAAGTCACAGCCCAAAACATGGCCACCTATTGAGTGGAAAGGAATAAAAATTGATATTAAACAGCAGTACAAAAACAGGGATTCCCAGGTAAACACTAAGAGAAAAAGGACAAGAATTATAACCAAGAAAGTAACTGTCAGTGAATCTATGGAAGTTTAAATTCCATAAATAAATGAAATTTAAATAGGCTTAGAACAAACAGATTATCTCAGAAAGTTGATTCCTGGAAATTATTGAAATGACAAGGACAAATGTCCCTCTTCCATACACACACATTGGGGAAAATAGCCTTTAGTATGACTAGAAAAATTTTATAGGAAAATGAGCATTTCTACCAAACTGACATTATGACTCACTGAAAAAAATAATGAAAAGCTTTTAAAGATCCACACTATTTAGTGATGGATTTCAGTGTTTTAAAAGTCATGAAAATTTCTATTACATTTCAATAATGAAATGCATGATGGCATTGAGCTTAATGACTTTCATCCAATTCACGACCAGGACTTGCTTTACTATTTCTTCAGCTAAATTCTATCAACAAACCCAGGGAGCACAGGAGAACATACTAAAATGACAATGAAAAGGAGAACAAAAGAGGAAAAATAAATAAATAAGGGAACCACGTAGAAGAAACCTCAGTAGTCAGTCCAACAAGAGATCAGTCATTGTTTGTTTTCCGTACTGCAGACTATCCGCCCAGCTCCCTGATTTCTCTCTTAGGATGTTACTGATGATACAAGTTCTGTATTCCATGGTTGGGTTTCACTGGAGCTTAAAATGAGCCACTTACATAAGCTAAGTTTTGCATGACAAACTGCCTCATGTCTACACAGGGCCATCACGAAGATTAGAAGCCATCACTTGTTGTTTCTTTAGAAAAGTTAAATTCATCTGGATACATGAACAAAAGCTTGTCTAGATAGAAGAGTTTTAGGGAGATTTATCATGGAATAACTAAGGGAAGCCTGTTAGCTCAGCAGCTGCAAAAATGCTTTGAGACCAAATGTTGAAAGCAAGTTCCAGTATGAAAGGCACTCTTTCTAGTTTTAATAGTGAAAAAAAGGAGTGTTCAATCACTCTGCAGAATCTCAGCAGCCTACTGGCAGTGAGGGTCATTCTTAGTTTTGATCTTTGAAAAGAGAATATCTCATTTTAAAGCTATTTTTATAGGGGAGATCTTTTCCCCCTCTTAGAACTGTGTGCTTTTGAAGCAGCTGCACTCCCCTTCTCTTCATTTTAAGTGTTCTGTCAAGAAAAAGAAGCATAAGGGTGATATCATCATTATACCCCATTCTGGGCTTGATCTTGCAGTAAAGTCATAATGCTTAATCTATGAAACAACGATTTCCATAACAACAGGCACAAAATCCAATTAAAAATAACCCCTTGGTTCATAAAAATCTCTGTGGGCCAACTTCAAGCTCCTTTCTTGCATTATTAAAAATGTGAAGAGATTGATTTTGGAAGACAAGGCTTTTAAAAATGCACTTAATTTTCTCAATTCAAAACAACACTGTCTATGCAACATGAAGTGTAATAAAGAGTGCACTGGACAGGGAGGGGAGCTAAGAATGGTGGTCATTCGTCCTTGATTTGCTACAAATAAAGAAGCTGGGGGCTGGGGAATGCTTATTATGTTCCAGGCACTTGATCTGTTAACTTACTTCATCTTTACAGTATCATCATTCTACAGATGTGGAACTGAAGGCCCAGAAAACCAAAACTACCTGTCCCAAGGTCACACAGTTACAATGTGACAGAAAAGTGTTCTATCCCAGATTAATCTACCCAAGGCCTGCATACTTTCTCCTGCATTATCCTGCCTCCCAGCCACGTGACCTTTGGCTAGCAACTTAAAATTTTAGCGTCCCCACATCTGAATGAAGCGGGTAGAACATTTGCTCCTTGTCATGACCTATAGCTTGCTGAACAGATTGATCACAATGATGGGAAGTGTTACATACCCTCTGTATAAGTCATGGCAGAAGAACCACCGGATCAAACACTGTACCTCTACCTAGGGATGCTGATATAGAGGAAGGACCATTCATTTGGGGCATGATCCACTCAAAATCAGGATTCTGCTAAAAGATTCAGCTTCTGGTGGTCTTAATCTCTAGCTACTCTTTAGGGTACCGTTGAGATCTCATATTCTCAGATATTTAAAACATGGAATTGGTAATAAAAAAAAGATGTTTAACTACTGACATTTTAAGCTTGAGAGTCATTTGTTCTCTTGGGTAGATTTGCGTGGCAAAATTACAGTCATTCAAGCCATTAGTAATCTGAATTTCTTTTCAGATTTCTTCTTTCTTGGGGGATATCAAAACATGTCTCATTGGTAATAATATCTTTCAGCATAAAATTAATGTGAGTGTTATGGACCAACTGTTCATATGTTGAAGTGATAACCCCTAATATGATGACAGGAGGGGGTGGGCCCTTTGTGAGGTAAGTAAGTTTAAGTGAGGTCTTGAGGCTAGAGCCTCCATGATGGAATTAGTGCCCCTATAAGAAGAGAAAGAGACATTGGAGTTCTTTCTCTCCACCATGTGAGGATACAAAAAAGAAGGCGGCTATCTGCAAGTTGGGATGAAAGCCCTCACCAAACACCAAACCTGCCAGAAATCTGATCTTGGACTTGTCAGGTTCCAAAACTATGACAAGAAACATCAGTGGACTGAGGGACCCAGTTAATGCTGTTTTTGTTATAAATAGTGAGCAATATTTTAAAGATTTTTAAGAACAGTTCATAGCATTGTTTCTATTTTAAAGACAATAATTATTTGTGTTTTGTAGGGAGTTACAACTGATATGTACTTGCACACTTGATTTTTACTATAATCTGTTATTAAAGCCACAGAAATATTGTTTTTCAATTTTTAGTTTAAAAGTCTGATTTAGAAAAGTTAAGAATATTATAAATCTCAGAGGCAAAAAGGAGTGAAATTATGATTGATCTTGAGATCTTCTGTCTTTATTCCAGAGTCCTTTCCTCAGCCTCCAAAACAATATGCAGATAGTAAAAGTTCAAGTCAATTATCCTATTAATACTCACCCATTTATGAATTTGCTGCTAATAGGGTTGGATAACCCCAGTTTAATGAGCAGCAGGAAATGGGAGATTCATAGTTAGCTAAGCAAATTCTTCTTTGAAATCTACTGCTTTTGCAGAGTACTGATTTTAACCATTAAGAGATGGTTAAAAGATGGTAGCTGATTTTGGCCAGATTAATAATAACCACATTTGCTAATTACATTTCATCTCCATTTTCACTATGAAAGGAGATGATGGTGGAAATTGGATTTTGCCACTGACATCAACTAATTGTGTCACCTTAAGTAAATCATTTATCTTCCTTCTTATATTTTTATCTGTAAAAAAGGACACCTGATAAAGGCATATACTGTTCAGTAGCAAACTTTAAATGCTGTCATTCTTGGAAGGACCAGAACTGCTCTATACTCTTTTCCCACCTTGTGGCTACATGAAAGATTGCAATTCTAATGTGAAGTTCTCTAAATTTATAAAACGTTCAATATTATTATTTTTACTATTCTTAATTTTATTTTTGTTTTGACATGGGTAGGCAGAAAGCAGAGAGAACGTGAAGGATAGTTATTCTAGACCTATTGCTCAACTCAAATGAAACCAGTGGGATAATATTGAAATATCCTAAAAAGTGTGTTTATTAATTTAGATAGTCAGATTTGAAGGGGAAGAACTCTGTTTTTGCCTCTTGGAATCCATCATAAAAAATAGCACCAAATGATCCATACAGGCAGGAGCAGGAAATGTACCATTCTGTGGACTAGGACATGGCCTTGCTTTACGAAAAAGTTCACTTAGAAAACAAAAATAATCAGAAGGTTGTGTGGTGAAATAAGGAAGTCACTTTTAAGGAGCCCTTTTTCTTGGCTTTGGTAAATTATTCTCTCCCCTGTTCAAATAAGCAGGTCAGGCTAGGCAGTATTGGAGACTCTGACACAGAATCTCTCTAAGTTTCCTCTACTCAGAACAATTACTGCTGTGCAGTGTGGAAATCTGGGAGCTAAAGGAGGGCAATGGTTTTATAATTCTTTTTAAAGGAGAGGAATCCCCTTTCCGTGTAATCATGCATAAGGACTATAAAGAGGGAGCTGCCCCACAGTTAAAGAAGCAGGTATCACCCAGAAACCTAGACTCCACAGGCACCTCAAGGGGGCTCATTTCTTCTCTCTTTAGATAAAGGATGCTTTTCTTCATCAGAAAACTGCAGCAAAGACTTTT